CCCCCAATGTCCTGTCCCCCCCAAAACAGAGCTGCACATGCACCCCGGTCCTTGCAGCACGACCCCCCCGGGTAAGGAAACTGCTTCGGTGCCGAAGCGGCTGTGCTCACCATGCCTCAGTTTCCTATCCGGCGCACAGGGCTGCGGTTTGCTCTTGCGCCGGGGTGGGTGCAGGGCTGAGGTTGCAGCTGTGGGTGCTGCAGTTGGTGGTGGAGCCTGGGTTCAAGCACAAAAAGCAAATGGAGGGGCCAGGAAGCTCCACATGTGTGGAGCTCTGACCACGTATGTGCTCTGACCACATCTATTTGAGCTCTGAGCACATATGTGCTCTGATCACGCGTGTGGAGCTCTGAGCATACGTGTGCTCTGACCATGCATGTGGATCTCTGACCATGCGTGTGCTATGACCACATATGTGCTCTGATCACGCGTGTGGAGCTCTGAGCATACGTGTGCTCTGACCATGCATGTGGATCTCTGACCATGCGTGTGCTATGACCACATATGTGCTCTGATCACACGTGTGGAGCTCTGTCCATGTGTGTGCTCTGACCACACATATGCTCTGACCACGAGTCGCCAGTGCTGGCCATGTGTTGGTGCCGTGTACACCCATCTGGAGGGACATCATGTTGCGAAACACCATCATTTGCACCCCAGATCCCACATCTGCCCCTGTTTTTTTGGTACCAACCCCTTCCCTCCAGGTTTGCCCTCTCAATTTTGTGGGTGTATGTGGCCATGGTATGATGTTAAATGACAGCTGTTAATTAGCAGCAGCCACAAAGTCTCAGGAGGTCAGGGACCAAGTGTGTACCTCCCTGTGACATGAGGACCAAAAATGTGATCTTTATAGGAACCGGGGATGTTTTCCATGTGCCAGAGCAGGTCAGGCTGTGGCATTTCGATTGCTTCCTCCTTTCACATCCCTTTTTCTATTCCCACTCCCCCCAGTGAGCCAAGAAAACCAGAAGTGGGTCCTCAAAGAGAGGGTTCATTGTTAAAAATAATGGGGGACAGATCTTCCCTGCCATAACGATGGGGTGATGGGCAGGGGCATGGGGCATCACATCCAAGCGAATCCATACGTGCCCGAGCCTGTCCATCCCTGCCCGTCCTTTGCTTCTCCAAATTAATTCCCTCTTTTTCTCCCCCAGTTGCCGAAGCAGCAACAGGAAGAGCTTAGTGGTAGGCACCCCTTCGCCAACCCTCTCGCGGCCTCTATCCCCCCTCTCTGTGCCGACAGGTAAGGGACGTCCCAGGTTGAGCACCTGCTAAAATTACCCCAATATTTTGGAGGGCAACCTTTCTGCTGCTGCAGCCCTTTGCCAGGGCAGACACTGAGGTAATTTTTCCCCTTCCTTCCTGCAGCCGGGAGCAGCCCCTTGGACAGCCCACGCAACTTCTCCGCCAGCACCTCCATCAACTTCCCCTTTGCTCGCAGGTGAGCTCCCAGCCCATTAATTATCACTGATAATTACAATCCACCAGCTGGGACTGCTTTGATGAGCTCAACTGATTTGTTCTGATTGTTTTTTCGCTTTTTCTCCCCAATTTTCGGGCTGGTGGTGTTTGCTCTGCTGCGACTGCTGCTTCCCACCCCTCCAGCCATGCTCCTCGGACTGACAGGCAAGTATCAGGGCTGGGCTGGGTCTGCATCTGGGAGATGAACGCTGCACATCAGCACAGCCCTTCTTTATCTGCATCCCTTTATGTGCATTTTACTCTGGGACTGGGTTTCTCACAGCTCTGGGAGCCAAAATGTCCCTGTTCCCATCACACCATCCCCAGTCCCAGCTCGGATCTGCTCTGAGTGCTCCCGAGGGACACTCAGATGTTCAGGGACGGATGCTCAGCCGGGTCGGATCATGCTGCATCCCTTCCCCAGCTCATTGTGCTCCAGATGACGCCAAAATCCTGTTTAACTAATTAATTAATTGCACACACAGCAGACAGACAGCTGATTTGAACCCATCGATCACCACATGGAAAAAAGCTCGAGGCTTGTGGATGGTTTTCACGGAGCTCAAAGCCAAAAAAGGGGGTTGCCAGGCTGTCAGTGGTGCCAGATCCGGCACCCAGCCAGCTCCTGCTGTCCTTGGCCCTGCATGGGAGGGTCCTCATCTTGACCTGGACACTGCCCCATCCTTTAGAAACATCTCCAAGAGGAAGCGTTCGCCTACGTCCCAGCATTCGCCTTCCTGTTTATCCCCAAGCTCTGCTCCGCGGCGCCTGGCGTCTCTGGATGAGCCTTTAGGAATCCCCATTTGTCCCAGAACAAAGTCCCCGAAGGCTGAATTTTGCTCTAATTAAAAATCAGATCCTCTTGGAGTTTTTTTCCACCTGAAATGGGTTCTCCACCTGGCCAAGCCCCACCTCTGTCCCTCTGAAAAGAGGTTTCAGGCCTTTAATATTCAAGCCAAACTTGCATCTTTTTCCCCATTCTTATAACTCTGACGTTATTTATTTGCATTTAGATGTTGGGTTTTTTTTCCTGTATGTGACAAGGATGTTTGCACTTGCAGGGCTGATGGCAGAAGGTGGTCACTGGCTTCGCTCCCCTCCTCTGGCTATGGGACCAACACCCCCAGCTCCACTGTCTCGGTAACGTTCGCTTTCTCATGGCAGCAGGCGAGAAGAGCCCCAGAACACCTTGATTTTTGGTGAAATGCCTTGGCATCGGTTCCTAGGCAGCCCCTCCATTCCTAAAGGACCATGTGCTTTAACTGTGTCATGCTTTCTAAATCTGCTTTTAAGAAAGCGGCAGAGCCCAGCTAATGGGTCACAGCATCTCTGGGTGTCACGGCATCCTATTCCCAGGTGTCACAGCATCCCTGGGTCACAGCATCCCATCCCTGGGGGTCATAGCATCCCATTCCTGGGTCACACCATCCCATCCCTGGGTCACACCATCCCATCCCCAGGCGTCACAGCATCCCATCTCCGGGTGTAACAGCATGCCTGGGTGTCACAGCATCCCTTTGTGTCACAACATCCCTGGGTGTCATAGCATCCCTGGGGGTCACAGCATCCCTGGACATCACAGCATCCCTGTGTGTCGTGGGTTAAACATGCATGGGGCACAGAAAGCAGGAGGTTTGGGGTGAGAGTGGGCAGCACAGACCTCCCTGGGCTGGCCTTGCTGTCTGTATTTCACATTACAGAGCACAGAGCGTGCAGCCCATTGGTGTTTCCATCCTCCTAAGAGGCTCCAAGGAATATTTTCCTTGTGGGTTTGCTGGTTTCCACCCCAACACCTGGAAACACTGATCCATCTCCTGATGCCCCTGTGTCTGTCCTTCTTTCCAGTCGTCTTCGTCCTCCCAGGAGCGCCTGCACCAGCTGCCGTACCAGCCCACCCCCGATGAGCTGCATTTCCTTTCTAAGCATTTCCGCAGTACGGAGAGCGTCACGGACGAGGAGGGGCGGCACTCGCCCTGCCTGCGTCCGCGATCCCGGAGCCTCAGGTACAGCACCCACGGCACTGTCAGGATGATGCTGGGACATCCAGAGCATCCTCTGCCCTCTCCTGAGCTGTTCCTGTGATGTTCTGGTCCTGCTAAGCCCGTCCCTCCCTGGCGGGAGGGATGCTGCTGGTCCAAGGCTGATGGCTCAGATGAGCTTTAACTACATGGGATCGGGAGTTGAGAGGAGGAAATTGCTCTCCGGGGGTAGTTGCTATTTGCATAGATGTAAATGACTTGGACTTCGTAACACAACTGACTTCCTCCCTCCACAGCCCTGGACGGACGAGCGGGACGTTTGATAATGAGGTGGTGATGATGAACCATGTCTACAAGGAGCGGTTCCCCAAGGTAACTGCCAGGATTGAGGGGGATGAGCAAGTTTGTCCCTCCACAGCATTCTGACACCATCTCCTCCAGAACTGGAGAGCTCCAGAACATCTCTTCTCCATGCTGGGATATAAAATGCATGGGTAGATACTGGGGAAGGGCGTGTTGAGGACACTGGAAACGTGGTAACAAAGCAGGGAGGCAGGGACTTGCAGGTCTGCACCATCACCATCTCCGGAAACTTTGGTGGAGCTTTTCCAGCCTGCTGGAAGCTGGGTCCCAGGTGGGACCATGATGTGCACATGGATAGGGGAGCTGCAGGACATTGTAGCATGAGATCCTGGTTGGCCAAACCCAACACAGGAGATGGTAGCATGAGATCCTGCTGGTCAAACTCAATGCAGGAGGTGGTAGCATGAGATCCTGGCAGGCCAAACCAAACACACATTATGGGTATGCATGTTCCTGGGCATCACCATCCATTCTGCTTTGCAGGCCACGGCTCAAATGGAGGAGCGTCTGCAGGACACCATCACAAACTTCTCTCCAAGCAGCACCCTGCCACTGGCAGATGGGGTCCTGGGCTTCATCCACCACCAGATCATCGAGCTGGCCCGGGACTGCCTGGCAAAGTCCCAGGGAGCTCTCATCACCTCCCGCTACTTCATGGAGCTGCAGGAAAAACTCGAGAAGATGCTCCGAGATGTGAGTATGGGGCAGTTCCCTGCCCAACGTCATCTCCTGAGGCCACCGATAGATGCCTGGCTTCTGTCTCCTCTCCCACAGGCTCAGGAGCGTTCAGAAAGTGAGGAGGTGAAGTTCATCGACCAACTGGTGAGGAAGCTGCTGATCATCATCTCCCGTCCTGCTCGCCTTCTGGAGTGCTTGGTAAGACATGGAAGCTTCTGATGTGCCTTGTCTTTATGGTCTATGCTCACCTGAAGAGAAGGCAAAGCCAAAAACCATGAGAGACAAAGCATCTTCTCACCACCTTGCCTGGTCTACCATGGCTTGACTTTGCTAAGTCATGCTCTCCAACTGCTCTTGGTTTTCCCTGTGCAGGAGTTTGACCCGGAGGAGTTTTACCATCTCCTGGAAGCTGCAGAAGGCCATGCCAAAGTTGGCCAAGGAATAAAGACCGATATTCCTCGATACATCATCAGCCAACTGGGGCTCGTTAAGGACCCGCTGGAGGGTAGGGAACTGCTTGGGTTGGTGGCCCTGAGATCTGCGGAGGGATGTGGGCTCCCAGTTTGGCCACTAGCGAGCATGAAACAGCACTGGGAGGTGGCAGGGGGACGAGGAAGGCTGAGCTGGTGTCATGGAGTGGGTCACAGCAGGACCAGGACAGTGTCCAGGTCTCCTGGCCATCCCCACATCCCTTCCTATTGCTCCCAGCACGTTCAGAAAAGCAGATTAAGCAGCTCAAGAATGCTTAATCCATAGGAAGCCACAGCCTTGCAGGGGGAACCATAATCCCCAAAGAACACGGGAATGACTATGGAAAAAAGAGAATTATATAAATGTTTCACCTCGCGTTGAACCTCAATGCCATGACCTGAATTTCTCCGTCCGATAGCTCGAGCAAAGCGTGTGGCTCAATCTCTGAGTTTGGAGGGAAAGTGGTTGGGGTGAGGGGTTATTTTGGCAGCATTTGAGCATGAAGAAGGTGGGAAACCATCCCTGTCTTCTGCAGAGATGGTCCAGCTGGATCACTTCGACAGCGGGAACACCATCACGCCAGAGAACGATGACGCCTGTGAGGTGTGTGGTCCTTCATTCATGTCCCATCTGCTGCCTCCAGCTTCGTCCTGCCTCACCCTACACCTTGCAGCAGCTCCTCTGCCATCTTAGGCTGGGGATGTTAATTTCGGTTGTCCCCAAGGTTCACTGCTGTACTCGGGTGTCACATCTCACAGATGTCCTCTTCTTGAGAGGACAGAGCTCAGAGTGGGCTCTTGATCCTAGAGCATCTTGGTCTTCTGATTTGGGGTTTGTGGCTGGAGGGGGCTGAGGGAGGGACGTCCTCTTGCAGCGAGGAGCATTCAGAGGTGATAGATGATGGTGCTCAGTGAATTCCTGCCTGCACTCAGAGCGCTGGCATGCCGGGAAACACTAAAAAGCTTCGGTGTCTTCTTCAGAGCCAGCCTTTGGCCACCGCCCCTCGGAGGAGACCCTGCGAGGCGGACTTTGAGACCATCAAACTGATCAGCAACGGGGCTTATGGGTGAGTTGGGAAGTTTGTAACGGTGTAAATGTCTCTAGAATCTTCCCCTATGATGCTGCGTGGTCAGTCATGGTGGCTGGAGGACACATTTTGAGGTCCAGCTGTTTCGCTCTCTCCTAGGGCTGTGTACCTGGTGAGGCACAGGGAGACGCGGCAGCGCTTCGCCTTGAAGAAAATCAACAAGCAGAACCTGATCCTGAGGAACCAGATCCAGCAGGTGTTCGTGGAGAGGGACATCCTCACCTTCGCCGAGAACCCCTTCGTGGTCAGCATGTTTTGCTCCTTCGAGACCAAGCGGCACCTCTGCATGGTGATGGAGTATGTGGAAGGTGAGAACGGGATTCAAGAGGGGGCAATATCAGTGTCTGAGCATCGAGGGCACCACGCAGACATCTCCTGCCTGGCTTTGCTGCATGAGGAGATGATCCTGAGTCCCACCTTGATGAAGGTGGTTGCCATGCTCACCTAGGAGAGCCTTTGTGCCCCATGCCCAGAGTTCAGCGATGCTCTGAGGAAGGACGGGAGGGTCCGGCTGGGAGCGCAGCCCTGCCCGGTGACCCTCCTGCCTTCTCCGAGCCCCCTGTACTCAGCAGGACCGTGTCCCCACAGGGGGGGATTGTGCCACACTGCTGAAGAACATGGGTCCACTGCCCGTTGACATGGCAAAGATGTACTTCGCCGAGACCGTTCTTGCACTGGAGTATCTCCACAACTACGGCATCGTCCACCGCGACCTCAAACCCGACAAGTGAGGATGTGGGTCAGGGCTGGACCCTGGGTTTGGATGGGGAAGGGAGAGGGACAGATCCAAGCCAAGAGGATAAGGATGAGGTCATGGGTTTTGGTGCCCCAAGTCCTGGTTCGGTGCTGTTGCAGCAGGACCAGAGGTCTTGGGGTCCTGCTCAGGTCTCCCCAGAAGCAAACACCAAACAGGGTGTCTGCTCTTGCAGCTTGCTCATCACCTCCATGGGCCACATCAAGCTGACAGACTTCGGTCTGTCGAAGATCGGCCTGATGAACATGACCACCAACCTCTATGAAGGGCACATGGAGAAGGACACCCGGGAGTTCATGGACAAGCAGGTACAAAGTCCTGCTCTGCTTGGCCAATTTGTCATCAGCGGGGACCGGGAGAGGCTCGGGACTTGTTGCAGAGGCCATTGCAGAGGTGTCAGCCGCTGCTCCCCACGCAGGTGTGTGGCACTCCCGAGTACATCGCCCCAGAAGTCATCCTCATCCAGGGCTACGGGAAGCCCGTCGACTGGTGGGCCATGGGCATCATCCTCTACGAGTTCCTGGTGGGCTGCGTCCCCTTCTTCGGAGACACCCCCGAGGAGCTCTTCGGGCAGGTCATCAGTGGTGAGTGTTGTTGCCAGCTCTGTTCCTTGTTTGCTCTTCCCAGCCGTCACAACTCATATTAACATGTGGAGAGCTTCATTCTTTCAGTTCCTGCTTGGTTGAGCGGCGAGGAGGCTCCTCAAGCTTTGATTTCCCAATCTGGAAGGATGCTTTCATCTGCTGTGGCTCCTGGGGGACGTTCCTCTTGCCCAGAAGTGACTTCTCCTGCGACCTCACATTGTCACAACCCCTGTAACGTCCAAACTCTTCTTGTTTTTTCCTTGCAGATGAAATTATGTGGCCAGAAGGGGATGAGGCTCTTCCTGCGGACGCCCAGGACCTGATCACACGGTTGCTGAGGCAGTGTCCCCTTGAGCGCTTGGGAACTGGTATGCACAGCAGACCCCATGTAGCATTCGGGGGGGTGATCAAAGGCCTTTCCCAAACCAAAGCATGCCCTACCACATTGAGGATGCTCAAAGGAGGTCCCTTGCTCGGGGTTCACCCCAGAAAGGCAACACAGGGATCTGATCCATCCCATTTTAAGCCATTTCCTCAGCGTGGAGGAGCGACCATGCCATTCAGGATGGAAGCAGGAAGGGGGTGCGCACGAGGTGAAGCACCATTCCTTCTTCCTCCACCTGGACTGGAATGGGCTGCTGCGGCAGAAGGCCGAGTTCATCCCCCAGCTGGAGTCGGAGGACGACACCAGTTACTTCGACAGTGAGGCCAAATCCATCCCCTTTTCCCCACCCCCTTCCCACCAATCCGTTATCCCAGCTGTGGGTTGGATGCTTCTGTGGGAGATTAAAATCTCCTGGGTGAAGTCCATCACAAAACAGATGCAATCCCCTTTCCAGGCTGCTCAGCCTTACCAAAACCCTTACTTTCTCACCCCAAAACTGTCCTGGGGCTTGGGACAGGAGCTATCAGCCACAATACGGGTCCCACTGGGGCCATGCAGGCAGAACATGGTGTGTCAGGGCAGGGTGACAGCCCCCTCCGCTCGCTCTGGCTCTTCCAGCTCGCTCCGAGCGGTACCGCCACTTGGATTCAGAAGATGAAGAAACCAATGACGAGGAATCATCCGTGGAGATTGGACAGTTCTCCTCCTGCTCCCATCGCTTCAGCAAGGTGCTCCGCTCCCTCCTCCAGCATCCGAAACGGCGGGTGCCACAGCCACCCTGGTTGTGTCAAGCATCGGTGCCCTGCCTGATGCCTGGATTCCCAGATTTCCGCTCCTTGCTGACAGCTTGTCCCCTCCTCAGGTGTACAGCAGCTCTGAATTCCTAGCGGCTCACTCTAACCTCAGCCTCTCGTCCTCCGAGCGGAGCCACAGCGATGAGAAAGAGGAACGATGGGACAGGCACTCGGGAGATGAGGACAGGAACCGGTTGGCGGGCACAGAGCCCCGGTGCGTGCCGAGATGGGGGATGCGACACTGATGTGGGTTTGTGCCGGTACCAAGGGTTTGTGCTGGCACCGAGGGTTTACACTGGCACCAAGGGTTTGCAGAGGTGGTGGTAGGACACGTCCTGGGGTGCTGCAGCATCTTGGTGCTGCTCTTCTCGCCCATTTTCAATTGTACCAAGCCCTCCTGCTCTCCCCACAGGCTCCGCTCCTGGACATCCTGCAGCTCCACACCATACAGCTCCCGGCACGAGCGCAGCTGCAGCCCTGCCGCACTCTCCAGCACCTACAGCCTGGACACCATGCCCAAGTTTGCCTTCTCCTCGGAGGATGAAAGCCCTTGCGTGGTGGGCTCCAAGCCGGAGAGACCCAAGTTTGTGCTGGGAGACCCCGACGTGGGCACTGGCAGCGTGGTGAAGCCATCAGCGCTATCTGGTGCGTAGGCTGTGGGCACCGGTGCAGGATGCTCCAGGGGCTGCTGGGGTTGTGCATGGCATGGGGTGGCTTTTCCATGTCCCCTGAGTCACCCTCCTCCCCTCCGCGCAGCCGATCTTGTCAGCCTGAACCGCATCCGCCTCCGAAGCAACAGCACTGGCACCAAAAACTCGGCTCCCCGGGGCCTGGAGCCAGGTGGGAGCCACCGACTGAGCAGCCAGAAGGACGTCCCAGACAGACAGAGAGCCTCGCCGGGTGGCCGTGTTCCCAAATCTGCCTCCGTCTCAGCCCTGTCCCTCATCATCACATCAGGTCCGTGTGTGCCATGCGGGTTATCTGGCCAGATGGCGTTTGCCATGTGGTTTTCCCTGGCTGAGCCAGCTTTTCCCGCTTGCAGATGACTTCGGCGGCGGTGCCCTGATGAGCCCCATTTCCCCCCATTCCCTCTCCTCCAACCCCTCTTCCCGGGATTCCTCCCCAAGCCGAGACTCGTCCCTCGCCATCGCCAGCCTGCGAGCCCCCATCATCATCCACAGCTCGGGCAAGAAGTACGGCTTCACCCTGCGAGCCATCCGCGTCTACATGGGTGACAGCGACGTCTACACTGTCCACCATATGGTCTGGGTATGTGATGCTGGATGTGGCATTTCCCAATGGGAAAACCCCGGGAGGAGGCGTAGGTTTGTATCCAAATAAAACCTGGGTCTTTGGATCACAGAGTGTGGAAGAGGGGAGCCCGGCACAAGAAGCGGGGCTGAGAGCGGGCGATCTCATCACACATGTGAATGGCGAATCAGTGCTGGGTTTGGTTCACCGGGACGTCGTGGAGCTGCTGCTGAAGGTAGGGGACTGGCGCATCAATCCAGCAGCTCCTAGCATTGCCTCTGCTGGTTCGGATCCGGTGCTTGGATCCGGTGCTTGGATCCGTTGCGCTGTAGTGATTAATTTTCTGCCCCTCAGAGTGGAAATAAAGTGGCCCTGCGGACCACAGCCCTGGAGAACACCTCCATTAAAATCGGCCCCGCTCGGAAAAACAGTTCCAAGACCAGGATGGCACGGAGGAGCAAGAAGAGCAGGAAAAGGGATGGCCAGGACAGGTGGGTACAACCGGGACAGGATAAAATGGCATTTATCCCATAGTATCCCATACCGGAGGGAGATGCTCCAGCTCTGCCATACCAGGGGGGCCAGGGGGCCCTGGAACTGCTGGCAAACTTTAAGGAGAAGCTGAGGCTTTTCCCGTCCTTGCCACCTTTGTGTTCGTCCCCCCAGGAGAAAATCCCTCTTCAAGAAGATCTCCAAGCAATCGTCGGTCCTGCACACCAGCCGCAGCTTCTCCTCCGGCCTCCATCACTCGCTGTCCTCCAGCGAGAGCCTCCCAGAGTCCCCCACGCACAGCCTGTCCCCAGGCCCCACCACACCGTGCCGCAGCCCTGCGCCCGACCTGCCCCCAGGTACCCCCAGATGTGGCAATTTGGGGGGGATATTTGCTACGGCGGGGATGCTGCACGTCCCCATGCCCCCCACGGTGACTTCTTTCTCTTTTGGTGGCAGATGCTGCATCCCCGCAGAGCACCTCTCCC